TTCGTTGATATCATGTGATTTTAAAACTTTTGCCAATCTGGAATTTCACTGAAGTTTTGATTTGCATTTCACATGAGTCATATTTTTTACCAAATTGGCAAGTGCCACCTAGTGATCAAATGAGACTCTGAACTGTACACTCAAGTGTTAGCCATTATCCATTCAACTATTTACAAACATTCCTACCTTAATTGTCACACCTGTGCAAATTCTTTGGTTAAGAGTTAAATGCAAAGAATCAATATTTGTAATAATAACCTAGTGTGATACCTATGTATAAGGCAGGGGCTCCCCAATCCCCAGGCTGTGGACCAGAACCGGACAGTGGCCTGTTAGGAATCGGGCTGCAAAGCTTCATCTGTAGTTGCAGCCACTCCCCAGGGCTAACATCTCCGTCTCAGCTCCACCTCAGATCATTAGGCATTAGATTCTCATAGGAGCACCGGTTCCTGGTGCCAAAAAGGTTGGGGACTTCTAGATAAGGTATAGATAGTCAAATGGTGAATAAAAAAAATAATTTTCATAAGCATTGTTCTCCTTTTGTATTTATTTTGATATATTAAGTGAAGGTGTTCTGAGGGAATTAAGGGGAAGTGAGTCATGCACATCTAGTTTATACACCATCTTTACTGCCCTAAAAGATATACAAGCAAGGGAGTGGACCACAGGAGTTGGACAAATTTTGTTCCTGGTACAAACCAGGAAAATGGTGGTGCTTATAAAGTCTTACACAGAATTTGCATACTCAGAGATTTACAGTGAAGTATTAATAAAGGAATTCCTTTAGAGGTTACTCTGAATGGTCAACATTGGATTGTAAACATGCTGAAGTTGAGACTGATTAAATTGTTAAACTTAGGTCACATCCTGTTGGACTACACCCAAGAAACACGTTATAGGACAAGTCAAAGTTCCAAGTATAATGCCAGCTGCAAGTGGGCAAGAAATCAGGTGATCTGTAATAGCTGATGTCAGCCTGTTCTTAGAGGCAGAGCTGAAGAAATGGAACCTAAGTACTTGGGTTAACTATGAGATCAGCCTGGCCCCCAGGTGTGAGCGGGCAGTGACAGAACAGTGAAAGTCGGATGCTCTTAACGTCGCACTTCAAACATCCTTCTGTCAAAGCTAGCACAGACCGAGATGATTTCTACTCATATACTGTTGGAGTATAAACTTACAACTTTTTTTTTTTTTTAGATTTTGATATTTTAATTTCTTTTGAACATAAGTCATTTTTTGCAAGTTAGGAAACAGAATCAAAGGAAGGCAGTCGAGTCCTCTAGGGATCCAGGCCAAGTCTTGCGACCTTCAGCAGAATGACGTAATATGAGGTGCTAATGATGAGGTTATAAACTCTAAATAACAACCACTTATCTACATTTTTCCTTATGAAAAAGCCAAAAGTCCAGTCCTTAAAGGCATAATATAAGAACATCATGACCCAAATTACATGCTGGCAAACCTACTGGTGAACCAGATCAGAGCTGGCCAAGGATTGGTCAACAGAGAAAAGTGTTTACATTTTGAAAATTTGCTCTGAGAGTTAAAAAATTACTGGTTGCTGTTAATAGGAAAGCAGGTCAAAAAATATTATAGATACACTCACACTGATATTTGATTTTGCCAAGGTCTTCCACTAGAAAACGAAGTTAGAGATGAGAATAGCGGACACTTAAATATTTTCAAAATAAATTACTTAGTAATAAGAAATTTGGCATACTGCATTCTTTTCCACTAGAAAACGAAGTTAGAGATGAGAATAGCGGATAAGACACTTAAATATTTTCAAAATAAATTACTTAAGTAATAAGAAATTTGGCATACTGCATTCTTTCATTTGCCACAAGAACTAACTGACAATGAAAACTCCTGAAAAGAAATGCTCAACTCCAAAAAAGGGTGGTGGCAGCAACACTTCCTACTATAAAATAACTTCCCGCTTTTGCATGCAATTAACACTGCTATTCTTCCATGACACAGGTTCATATGGAAAACTTGTCAGGAGCTTTGCCAGAGCCAGGAGATGAAAAATAGAGCATATCCTACTTAGCTTTATAAGTTCAGTTAACATCTTTAGGATGAACCCATAAAATCTAGCCGTTGTTTTGTTAACTGTCTGCAGAATTCCTTAGACCTCAGCCATAGTTTCTGCTCAATATCTTAAAGCTGGGCTCAGTCCCATCTGACTCTTCTCAGGGCCAAGGTGGATGCTAGTCATCAAAGTCTGGAATGTCATTGTAGGAGTAACCCCTGTAGCCTCTGGACACATAGTAGGCGATGCATAGGAAGTAAAATCCCGACAGGAGTATTAGAATGCCAATGACGAGGACCAGAATGGCCCAGTCTGTCCCCCTCTTTGCTAGTATAGCCCAAAAGCAGTTGGGAGCCTATGAAAAAGGTGCCAATTAAAAACAGCACTATAGCAGACACAATGGCCTCATATGGGATCTTAGGAGGGCTTTTCTTAAACTGAAGGTTAATGCAGCCATCCTCCGTGCTGGAAAGCCCTGAGTATTTCACTTTACTACTGGGGATTCCAGTAGCCAGGTTGGTAGGAGATGACATCATAACACAGCCACAGCTACAGTTGTAGTGCCGCGTGAGGCCACTTGCACGTGACAGCTCGCTTACTGTTGGAAGCAGGGATGTCCAAGCCCTCACAGCAAGCCTCACCCAATTCACCTTACAGCATTTTAAAAAAGGAATTTAGCACAGCCATGAGGAATTTGAACATGTTTGTTTTTTTGACCATGTAATTCCAACCTTAGGAATCTGCCTAATGAGAAGGGGAGACTAAGTCAGGGGGAGAGGAATGGGATTGGATGAAAGATAGAGAAATAGCAGGAAGGGAAATGAGTTTGTGTAGGAGTCTGTGTGTGCACAGGCATGAGTGCAGAGGCAGTAAGGACAGGTGAGGGTGGGTGGTGGGCTCCCAGGTCCCCTCTTCCCCAGCCCTCTCTTCTCACTTCCTTGCCAACTCCTGGCCTCAGCTTTGGGAGGGTGAGTGGTAGATGGACAGCATACTGAGCCTCCTCCTATCACAAAGAGCTAATTAGTAGGAAATTTGACATCTTCGTCAGGTCCAGTATTTTCTTTCAACATCATAGACTAACTTTTTGCTTTCAATCCATTACAATTTTATGGAACTACTATTGTAAACGTGGCCCCTTGTTGACCCAAACATCGTAATGTGGCACATGACTGTAAAGGACTTTAGGCAAGACCTAAACACTGTAACGGACATTTCTACAAAAGAAACCTAAGGAAATGGTTCAGAGAGGGAACTGAGAGATATATGAAAGTGCTTTTATAGTGCGCACACACACATTGAAAACCCTAATGTCCTCCAACAGAGTAGCATGATAAATTCTAGTCTGTCTAGATGTGAAACAATGAACAGCTAATACAATGACTTTGAAGATATTGAGAAACATAAGTATAAAAATTAAGGAAACTTCGGCTAAAATTGGAGTTGAGAAGGTCTGTAGAGTAAGCTCCCGTTCCCTACCACTCACCACCAATTATTCCAAACAGGAAATGACATACCTTGCATCTCTGATGGGATGGTGTAGTTACCTTCCTACTCTGGTAGGAAGTATATTTCTCTTCTTGCCCAGCATATAAGCCCAGTCAATGGAAAACGCCACCACTCAGCCAATGAAAAGCCACAGTCACCCCGAACTCTTACTTTCCTCCAATAAGCTTTCACTTTCCTCCTGCTAATGACTTTTTTCAGCACCAACGTGAACCCCGGAACTAGTGTACGATGAATGGAAAAACTATTTTTGAAGAAGCGGCTTCACTTCACAGCCCTGGTGTTAAAACTTAGCAGGAAAAACTCAACGGCCAACAGAAACGCTCTGCTGAAATATTAAGAAAGGGAAAGCAGACTTATATAGGGAAAAGTTTCCGCCACGAGTCCCTGATTGGTGGGTTCTCATGGAAATGAGGACTCCAAATCCTCACAGTTCAATTGGTCCGAAAAGCACTATTCTGATTGGATGGAATGGAGACACTCTGATTGATCAGTAAAGATGCAAATATTCAGCTGGATTGGATTGGGGAAGTCTCACTTCTATTGGTTGGTTTCGGATCCTAGGCGCTCCCTTATAAGGGTCGACTCAGCAGAGAAGAGCACAGTGTAGGAAACTTGACGGTGGTACCTGTGGCTTCCTCCCTCCCCAGTTGTAGCGAGTGCGTGCGCTGTGAGCATTGGCTGCTAGACTCTGGTTGTGAATTTGAGCTCAGTTAACCTCGTGGAATCCTTTCAGGCAGGTGTATTCTCAGAGTCAACATTTTCTTGCCCTACTCGCTACCTAAGCCTTCCATCTTGATTAACTCCTCCCTATAGCTCTTGCGAGATGTTGTTTGATTTATGAGTTGTTTAATAAAGCCAATTCTTCAAATGTGCTGGGTTGAATTTTATTTTTAGCACAGGGAAATGATCACAAAATATTAAAAGAAAAGCAGGCCATAAAACCGCATATACAGTATGATCAGAATTTTCTAAGAAAAAAACTGCATGTTTATTTTTTAATTTGGGAAAGTTAACAGGTATGTGGTACAAAACTGGTGGTTTAAATGTTCATCAGGTCATACAGCTTTCAAATGTTCCATAATGAATGGATGCTGTTTTTATAATGAGTTAAGTACTAAGTATTCGTTAAAGTCCTTTTCCTTCATTTTAACTGGGCCTCGGAAGCAGGCCAGCTCTTTCTTGCCTCCCCAACCTCCGCCAAAGGCATGCCGGGGCTCCCCACCTTCTCCCAGCATTGTCCTAGCGCGCTGCCTTCGCTCGGCCCTCTCGCCTTTCCATGCACTTTCCCTAATCCTCTTTTGAAATATTTCACTTTTCTGGGCTGTTCACGGTTTTTACAACGCCTAGTTTTTCTAACCAAAAAATGCCGAAGGAGAGCTCCAGGGCCGACTCGCGGCGCCAGCGCGCCCCCGCTCGGCCTGCTCGGGCCTAGCCTCTCCGCGCGCTCCTCCGCGAGATCCTGACCCGCCCTCCCAGCCTTCCCCGCCGGGCGCCCGCTTCCGCCTTTCCGCCGCCCTGGACTCTGCCCCACGGCTTAGTTCCTGCGGTCATGGCTCCGCTGCGCTTCTCAGCCAATGTGTCATGGTTGTTTCCCGAGCTCCCGGGCCTCGCAGCGCGGCTCCAGGCTGCGGGGCGCTCGGGCTTCAAGGCGGCTGAGGTCGCCTGGCCGTACGCGGAGCCGCCGGAGGTGCTGGCGCGCGCGGCGCAGGAAGCGGGGCTGCAGCTGGTGCTTATCAACACGCCCCCGGGTGCGCTGTGGGGACCGGGGCAGGGGAGTGGGGGCCAGGGGCCATACCCGGGGGCTGAGGTCTGTTCTCTCCGCAGGAGACCGAGAGAAGGGGGAAATGGGCCTGGCGGCCGTTCCCGGGAGGCAGGCGGCCTTCCGAGAGGGGCTGGAGCAGGCTGTGCTGTATGCCAAGGCTCTGGGCTGTCCCAGGTATCTTAGCCTCTCCTCTCCCTCTATGACCCAAGACCCTTCGGCACGTGGTTCGGGGGTCCAAGAGCAGAGGACGCCTGGTTTTGAGAAGCTCAGGAGTCTGAGCGCACCGGCCCTTCTCCACCCCAGCAGTCCTGGTCCCTTGTAAATTCTTTTGTATTTTATGTCATATGTCATTCTCAGTTGGCAATTCTTTCATGCTCCTCTCCTGGGATCCCATGCTGGGAGCTCAGTTTGAGCAGAGAGCTAGCAAAGTAAACAATAAACGAGGAAGGATCCATCTGAGAACTGGTCAATTCACGGAGGCTGTGGGAGCAGAGTAGGCACCTAACTGGGATCAGAAAAGGCTGCCTACAGATACAGATGTTGAACTGTGGCTTAAGGAGTGGGCATTTGCTTGAAGCATCCCAGGTAGGTATGCAGTGAGTGGCCAGAGGCAGGAGGAAGCTTGGTGTGTTCAGCAGAGTTCATGAGGCTGGAGAGGTAGTTTGGGTTGGATGTGGCTGAGAAAGATTGGGTGGTGATGGGAGAAGGTGGAAGCTCAAAGTGGGGCTGATCAAATAAATGTCAAATCCTGCAGAGCAAATAGGCTGAGAAGGAACTGGCAACAAGGGCATTATTGGTGGGGGTTGGGGGCAGAAATCAGATGGGAAGAAGCTAAGAAGCAGATACAAGTAGACACAAGCAGTGTGGAATTCTTGAGAACGGTTAAGGGTCAAAATAATTTCTAAAAGGCGAGACTTAAGCACCGGGAGAAGGGCCACAGGAAAAGAGGTTGAAATTACAGGAGGGGCTAAGTGAGGGACTGAGGTCTCTGAGGCCTCTAGGCAGGAGGATCGGTTGACCCTCAGAAGGGCTGTGGGAAAGGACTTGGCCTTAGGTTGACACAGGAGTGACTGAGGGTGCTGGTAGGCCTGAGCATCAAGGCCGAGTGGTATGGACTAGAGACCAGGGCGGGTGGTGGGAGGGCTGGTATAGTAGGAAAACGGCTGGAAGAGGTGCACATAGGGAGCAAAGCCCATGCTTCTGGGATGGACTCCATAGCTCCTTCCAGTCCCATTTTCCCCACAGGATTCACCTGATGGCTGGCCGAGTACCCCAGGGTGCTGATCGAGCAGCAGTCAGGAGTGAAATGGAGACAGTTTTTCTGGAGAACCTGAGGCATGCAGCTGGGGTTTTGGCTCAGGTGAGACAACAGTGAAAACAGACACATACACATACTTAAATGAATGTGTCTGAGTGTGTGCGGAGGGCGGTGCAGTGTGGAAAGCAGTAAGGCACAAAGGTGATCACTGACCCAGGTCAGGGGAACTGGGAGTGGCTTGATCAGTGACTGAAAGATGGGGAACAAACCTGGGGGGAAGAGCTGTATTCACAGATCCAATGTGCTTCTAGGAGAACCTTGTGGGATTGCTGGAACCTATTAACACCCGCGTCACTGATGCCCAGTACTTCCTGGATACACCCCAGCAGGGTAGGACCCTCAGCCTTGTGCCGCCTCCTCTCTGATTCTTGCGCTCTCCTTGAGTGTCATGGCCCCCTCTTGGTTTCTTTCCCAGCGGCAGCCATCTTACAGAAGGTTGGAAGACCCAACCTCCAGTTACAAATGGTAAGTGGAAGAAAGGGAATACTCAAGAGGGCCTGTGTTCCCCATATCTGGGAAGAATGGTGGGGCCTGAGGGGGTCTCTCACTCTAGTAACCACTGCCCTAGGACATATTCCACTGGCAGATCATGGATGGGAACCTGACAGGAAACATCCGGGAGTTCCTGCCCATCGTTGGTGAGAGGATCCCTTTCTTTAACTCCTTCCTCTGTCATCCTACCCTTCCAACCCCCTGCATCTGTATCCCAGGCCTGAGCAGGAGCCTGGGCCCTACATCTGCCCACATCTGTCTCCAGGACATGTGCAGGTGGCACAGGTCCCAGGCCGGGGAGAACCTGGCAGCCCTGGAGAGCTGAACTTCCCATATCTATTCCAACTGCTGGAAGACGAAGGCTACAAAGACTTTGTAGGATGCGAGTATCAGCCTCAAGGTGAGGGGTGGGTTCAAGCTCCAGGCCTGGCCCTGGGGAAGGGAGTACTGCAGGGACAGTTATTGGACAGGGGATGTTTTCCTTCTCATGGGTTGAGCCACTGCCTCCCTCTCCCTTCAGGAGACACGGTGGAGGGCTTGAGCTGGCTACGTTCCTACTGGGATAGGAGAGGCAACCCATAGGCTGGCCAGTGAGGTCCTGCTCTCTATCCACATGCCTTTCTGAGACAGTGAGTTGAGCATCCTGAGTCTTCTCTGAATTAAAGACAACCTGTTGAACATTTTCATATGTGTATGTTATTGGGGGAGGGGGGGACACATAGTGTCTAATCCTTCAGTTTCTCTGGGTCACATCCATCCTATTGAGAAGGGACATACAGCTCAAGCTCAGGTCCTCCAGTCTGTGCCAGTGTTGCTGTGGAAATGGGAGAGCTCTGAGCCCACCTCCTTGTGTACAGATGATACCAAGGGTCTGAGAGCAAAGGGACTTATCTATTGTCACAGCTGCTTCAAAGGCAGAGCTGGATGTCTTATCTCAATGGCAATGTCCAGCAGTGATGTCCCAGTGGGAAATGAAGACCAGAGGATGCAAGGTGGGAGGCGGGTGGCTGACTGCAATCAAAGGCATGGAGGCAGGATTCGGGCAGAGGAGCTTTCAGGAGTGAGAGCTTGCCACCTGGTGTGAAGAATTCCTGGGACTCTACTAGGTAAGCAGGAAGGAAGAGTCCAGGGGCCTGAGACGAGGTGGGCACATCAGGGAGTTGACATGACTCTCCAGAACCCTGGGTTGGCAAGCAGCTGTGAGTGTTTTGGGACAGCAGCCCCTGCTGCCAGGGTTGCTGCACCCCTCCCCCTGCCCCCCCAGATATAGTCACAAAGCCTTTGGTATCCCTCAGTGTCTGGGCTTGCGTTGGGGCACAAAAAGGCTGGTCAGTCCTGCTTCAAGTGGGCAATCACAGATCCATGATTCAAGGAACAGTGACATTCAGTGGTCCATTCCTCAGAGGAGACGAGTCCAGAGGGTGAAACAGGCTGTGTTGATGACAGACTCAAGGTGGTGGTAGGTGGAGACCAGCTGGGCAGGGGGGCTCTCGCTGTCCTGAGGCTGTACTGGGAAGGGCTCTCGGAAAACCACTGTCAGAGACTGTGGGAACATGGTGGGAGTACAGTGGTGAAACGAAGGCAGGGTAGGTACCCCAACCTCAGTGGACTCTGGGGTGGAACATTTGGGGTACAGCCTCCCACTATGCTGACACAAAGCCCCTTAAAGCCCATTCTCACCGTCTTCCCACTATGCTGACACAAAGCCCCTTAAAGCCCATTCTCACCGTCTTTCCCAAGTGGGAATCCAGAAACACTAGCACAAAACAGTCGGTGAACTTCTGATTCAGCACAACCTGCAGCAAAAGACAAAATGAGATGGGAAGTGAGGCCTGTCTCACCTAAGGAGGCACAGACCCTCCTGAGGGCATCCTGAAAGTGGGACCAGTCTGAGGAAGGCCTGCTTCTATCACCACGCCCGACCCCACCTGCACTCTATGATTACCTCGAACCTCATCTCCAAACTGAACCTCAGTCCTCATCTTCACAGGCCCCTGGTTGGCCTGCCCAGCCTCATCAGAATAAAGGGGAGGGGGGCTTGATAGGAAGGTTCCTGAGGTCATCCATCTAGAGGCCCTGTACAAAGCTGGCATTGAAGCCCAGCAATGATGGAGAGTGCTCTACCCTTGACCCCTCCTTGCTTCCTATCCTGTCCTGGGTCTTGTGTCTCTCTGACTTCCCCTGGGACTGTCCCCTAATGTCTGTCTGTCCCTGATGCTCAGCTTTGCAATCTCTCCCTGGGCGACTTCTTCCACTCCCAAGGCTGCAGTCACCTGTTCATACAGATGCTGCCTAGATCTCCTGAGCGCCAATCCCTGATGTCCACGTAAACCTTCTAGACTGTGGTCCTAGAAGGTCCTCATGGACCCCAGATTCAACTCCTCACCCTTCACCAAGCCAGGTCCTGTTTCAGCATTCTCACCACCCCCAGAAGCCTCCCACATCCACTCACAGCCATCCACATTACTGTGGCCTGACCGTCACAAACCTCGGCCTCTCTGGACAGCCCTTCAGAACACCTTGAAACTCATCTTCCCTACAGGCACTAAGTTGCAGGCCCCGTCACCATGAACCAACTACTTTTCTCCTGAAGTCTTTTCCTGAATGTCTCCTTTCCTGGACTAACACTCTCACAGGCCCATTTCTCTAGTCTCTTAACCCCCACGTGCACGTCCACCACCGTAGCTCTTCTACCTGTCCTTCCTGCAGTGCTCTCAATCTCTAATGGGCACACCAAGCACCCAGGGATCTGGCTAAAAGGCAGGTTCTGAGTCTTGGGTGTGGAGTGGGGCCTGAGTGCATTTTGGGAAGCTCTCAGGTGGTGTGATGCTGCTGCTGTGAGGGCTACACTTAGGTAACATGGCTCTAAAGTTCAAGAGGTCCTTTCTGGGACTGCGGCCTCTAAAACCAACCACTGATGAGGTTCCAGAACATGGCCCTCAGCATCCCTAGCCAAGGTTTGTGTTTTTGTGAGCCTATGAAGGTAGAACCCCAGGTTGTTTTCAGTGAATCACATGCTGTGGCTTGATGCTCAGTGCTCACAAGGTTTTACATGTATCTGTGCAAGCTTATTCCATCTAGGCCTCTCTCCAGAGCAGAGCTTGTTTGGTCAGGCCAGGGCTCCTTGAGGGGGACACCTGTCATCTCTTTGGTGAAGATTTCTGCTGAGTCTCCCCTTTGAGAGGAGGGTCAAAGAACTTACCAGGTACTGAGTTCCCAAGTCTGGGCTCTGAAAATGGCGACAGCTCTGGGGAAAGCGGCTGAGGAGAACCTTGATCAGGCTCTGGTACCAGGAGACCGTCATAGACAGGAAGCAGTCCTGGGGAAGAGTCCACAGACCTGGCTCTGCTTTCCTAGAGCCACCTCTGAGACCCCTGCATCCTCCACCCTAGCTGCCCATGGAATTCCTAATATCCATCCCAGGCCTTTCTGGAGCTCAGAGCCCCTTCCTTACCAGCTGAGGGTCAATGTCTCCAATGGATTTGGCATGGACTGCTTCTAGGAGCTCCTCCAGCTCAGCCAGGGCCAAACGACCCCCTAGCCTCAGCCGATCAGGTCCTGGTGGCTCCAGTAAGAAGAGGCGCTTCCAGAGGGTGTCCCGGCGGCAGTGCCCTCCAGCTAGCCGTACCAGCTGAGCCAGCTTCGCCCGTGCCACACCCACCTCTGCAGCCAGTGGGGGAAACAGAGGAGCTGGTCCAGGGGCCAGATCAGCTCCAAAGGCCTCCCTAGGGCTACCAGCTGAGCTCCCAGGAGCCTCTGGCTCAGGGGGCAGTCTGGGAGGTTTCCGGAACCGGCGCATGTCAGCAGTGAGTCTGGGGAAGAGCTCTCGTTGGCTAGTGAGCACCACGAAGAACTGCAGCCTGAGGTGGGGAGGGGAGCAAGAGTGTGGTGGTTACCGCAGGAGACTCACAGGAAGGGCAGGGGGCAAGCAGGCTGGGCAGTAGGCATGTATAAGGTCGGGGGGGCGTGGGTCTGCCGACCTCAGAACATGCCGCTCAGCCTCTCCTTGCTCCTCAAAGGGTGCAGCACAGTGACAGACAAGCAGAGACACATCAAAGTCATCCTGGTGACGAAGTCCCTCAGAGTCCAGGTAGGAGCCAGAGCTGTACAGTGGGGATAAGATGTTAACCCTAGGGTTCTAATAAAGCCAACCTCACCCCTCTGCCCAAGAAAACATGGGTCTCCCTACTGCAAAGATGGCCTCAAACAAAGCTCCACCAGCGTACGTGCTGGTGTCCCCTCTCTGCCTTACCTGTGCCATGCTGACACCAGGGCATACTCATTATGTTCTGGGCCTCCTGGTCGGGCCATCCGCAGTGGCTTCATGTGGTAGGAACTGGCATGGTCAGCCACATAGTTGTACAGCTGATGGGCGGCAATGAGTGGTGTGGGGAGCTCCAGTGTCCCTAAAGGTCAAGTTACAGTACAATGAGCCTGGAATAGACACACTAATCTGGATGGCTGGGGGGTTAGGAGTCTCTAAGGCTCTGACTGACAGGCAGACTGGCTCTGCCTTGCTGGGGAGCTCCTATGGAACATCTAGATGGCACAAAGTGGCTCAGGACAGAGGGCAGAGTACATAAAACAGAGTCTAAGCTTTGATATGAAACAGACCATAAAGTTAAGACAGAGATGTGGGGACAAATTCCAAATGATATGAGGTGATTACATGGGATAAAGAAACGAGGTCTGGCTCTGGGCAGTGGTCCCACCAGCCCTGGCCTGGAGACACCTTGTGGCCTGTTCTTGCCATTAGGCACCGACCTTGGTAAATGTGATTGCGGCCAAAGTGGGGCCCATCAGGGTGGTGAGCCAGAAAGTGTCGCAGGAAGGTGGTGAGGTGGTAGCCGTGCCGCAGCACCAGGTGGGCACCCAGCACATGTTGGTGCACGAGGCGCAGGTGGAAGTCATAGCTGAATGAGTGCACATGCATCAGGTCCCGCACTTTGTCGCACTCCTCTGTGAACAGCATGGACAGCTGGGGAAGGGCAGGGGCCGGGTCAGGAAATGGGAACACAGGCTGACCAGCACATTCCCATTTTCCTCTTTCTCACATGGGAAAAGATAGTTCAAGATTTACCCTGCTGCTGTGGGCCCCCTTCTGCCAGAATAGCTTCTCTGGGAAGTCCTCGTTATATTCTTTTTCATGCTGTATTACAATTCTGTTTATATGAAACTGACCATTTTGAAAAGATGGGCCTTTTCCTCTATTCCAGATTCCACTAAAGTCTTGCACAGATTCCCTGATGCAACAGATTCAGTGGTACTTGTTGAGTGTCTACCTGGTACTGTTCTAGGTGCTGGGAAAACCCTGGGAAATGGAAACAAACCCCTGCCCTCAAAGAACTTCCATTTAAGCAGAGGAGAAAGAAGATAATAAACATTAGACAGAGTAAAATGAGTACACAGCATGTTAGAAGATGGGTGTTATGGAAAATCAAGTAGTAAAGCAAGGTTAAACAGGGTGGTCAGGGTAGGCCAGGCATGTATTTACTATTAGAAAGTTTTTCCTGACTCCTTTCCATTTCTCCAGCTTTTCCTTAGTACATCATATATTCTCTCTACACTTTTGTACCTGCTGTTCTCTTTGCCTGGAATGCGGCTCTTCCTGATCCCCAAACCTGCCTAACTTCTCCTTATTCCTAAAGCTTCATCTGGGACATCATGCCAAGGCTAGGCCAGGG